CTTCAGAGTTTTCCGCACGGGTGGCTGAATCAGGGTCTCATCTGATTCACTGAAATCCCGCCCACGACGATCAGACAGATCTGCTCAGGCGGATCTGGTCCGATTTCGTTCACAATTTTTTCCCAGCCGTACTGCTTTTCAGCCGGCGCCTCACGAATTCGCTCGAAATGCCACCGCCACAGACTGGTCCTTTCATAGCAGCCGCACATGTACCCGCCATCAACCTGCGTCACTCCACGTGTTGCGCGCGCATAGTTCGAGCACTTGCCGTGTTCTGCTCATATGGACGCGACACGTAGCCCGTCGCAGGGTATCCCTTTGCACGCTGTTGGGCGGGTCGATATGAACCGCGGAACAGACGTCACCCGCTAGACCGCCGCGGCGACCGAACGTAACTAAAATTATATAGAAATAAATGCGTATTTGCATAGCTCTTTCATCAAACCGCACTTGTTGTGACCCAACGACTCCCACGTAAGCAATGAAGGGTGGATGTCTCTTCAAGAAATTCTACGAAAGTGCTGAGGCGTCTTTCTGCTCCTGGCACCACCTGCATCAAGTTTCTCTGAACGGATCAGCACTGCTTTGATTTCGTCGGGGGGCGCCTGCGGGAGGTGTATTTGCCCATTGCCTGAAAAACGTGGACGCGATTGGGTGAGTTGCTGAAGTGGCTTGCGAGCGCCTGCACTTTACTGCACTTAACTGCACGGTACTGCACTGCGCGCACTGTGCTGCCATTTCTTGGCCTTACCTCAAACCGTTACGATCTTACCGACTAACTCGGATGGAGCTTATCCAGCACGACTATATTTCAGAAATCTCGTTGTATATTTGTGCATTTCACGCTGAGGGCGCGCCTATGTATGTTTTCTTTTTACTTTCGTTATGCCTGGCTGAACATTGAGTCAATGACGATGATTTTGACCATCGTGATCGTAATGATGCCAGTGATAATGAAGTCAGTTATGATCACATAAAATGAGTGATGAGGAAGGGGTATGATAAAAGAATTCCCTAAAAGTAGCGATATAAAGAGAAACATCAGGACATTAAGACACTAAGGCATTAAGGACGGAAGTGAGTGGAAGGATTTTGCATCCCTAAACGGCCACGCATGAACATGATACAAACATATTACCACGTTGCTATGGAGATCAGGCGAAGTATTGGTCAACGTCAACTGCCCGAGTCGCACGGTGTGCAGTACGGTTGCCATAAACAGCGAGTCTGTGCATGGCAACACGGCAAAATACGTGCCATGCCACAACGGCTTACATCGCTGCTACAGTGCTATCTTCTCTTTTTGGGCACTGGAATCCCAAGTCATCTTTGGAATTCCTGCTCAAAGAGGCTTCAAACAGCGGAGATGAATACACAATGTGAACGGCTCACCCCGCACTGATATATCATTACGCGCGGCGGCATGGGACCTCAGCACACGGCACTCACATGTCGCAACGTTCTAACAAGACATTCCAAGAACCAGACAGAGAAGCCGGTTACTCCGCATCAGAAACGAATGCGGCATGAGCTTGTACCGATATTAACCCTATCTACCAAGTTAAAAGTAATGCAGAATAACAAAGGACAGCACGAAACGGAGGACAGATCCTCCTTCCTTGAGCAAAGGGCCGTAAATACTACGCCATTGATAACGTCTATGCTCTCGTTCAAAGAAGCGCGCAGATAATGCCTTCCACCTACAGGGAACAGGGTACGCCGGAGCCTTATTGCAGCACGGGATATAGAAATACGTGGTATTGCGATAACGACCCAAGAAGGTCGTTATCAACTGGCAGCTGTAAGCACCGCCGTTGCGAGTGCGTTATTGCAGCTGGCGTGCAGGGATCGACGCCGTGGCTCCAGTCCACTACGTCAATCGGAACTGCCAGGCGCTGAGCATGCGTTGGTGAAGCTGACAGAAACCCGGCTGTCGGTCACTAGGTCAGTCAGAACTGCCAGGCGCCGAGCATGCGTTAGTGGAGCTGACAGAACCGGCTGTCGGTCACTAGCTCAATCAGAACTGTCAGGCGCCGAGCATGCGTTAGTGGAGCTGACAGAGGGCTGTCGGTCACTAGGTCAATCGAAACTGTCCAGGCGCCGAGTATGCGTTAGTGGAGCTAACAAAGGCCTCAATGTCTGACGGCGAGCATGCGACAGCGGAGCTGATGAAACAATAGCTACCGACCGGTGAGCATATGTTTGTGGTGCCTGCAAGAATCTCGGCAGTCGAATAATGAGCTTGAGCATGCGTCACTGCAACTGACAGGAGCCGAACTGTAGAACAGTGAGCTTGCGTCGTTGTGACTGAAAGAACCCCACTGCCGACGGAAATGCGTCGCAACAGCAGACTTCAAATCCCACCGTGAAGGGCCGACAGCCGCCAGGGCTCACACCTCACCAAGCAAAGCCGCTCCGTTCACCCGACAGCCGTCTTCATGGAAGCGTTACGAGCTCCCACGCTGATGTACTCCCCAGACGGCCGCCAGGCGTGAGGTTCGGCCCCTGCCGCGGCCCCACGGCGACGGTGCGGCCTGTGACATCGGCGAGACCCCCGTCGCCTGGTGACTCAGTGTGAGCGGCCACCTTCGGTGCAGGCTCACTCGCCGCCGCCGCCGCGCGCGGCCGGCTGGCGCGGCGGCGGCACTTCCCAGGCGAAACCCGACGCCTGGGGCGTGTTTGGGGTCTGGCGAGCTTTTTCCGCGTCGGCTGCTGACATCGCCGCGATCCGTCACCGCAGGGCTGTGTAGCGGCGACTGCAAACCCGGCGTGGGTCGAGCGAGGCTGGTTCTGAGAGGCGCGGCCCGCCCACACAGACGGTCTGTTTGCGAGCACCCAGGAGCGGGAGGAGCGCCGGAGTGGGGCCCTGTGCGTCTGGCGACGCCGACACGAGTGGCAAACGCGAGGGTCTACTGTGTGTCCGCAGATATGCGCAGGTAGATACCCCGGAGGTGGGAAGTTTTGGAAGAGTGCAGCCTGTGCTGGGCACCACTGCGTGACTCGGATATTCGCTCTGTTTCGAAATCGATGAATTTCCACACGTGTCGCCGGCGGCCGCGATAAAAAACCAGGTGCCCAAGTGCATCGGTCTAATGTTTAATGCCATTTCAGAAGGTTGGACGATTCATTCACATATAACAGCCAGCGTGATGTCCATCCCATTTGCCGAAGCATTTCGCGATAAATTTGACAGTGCACACTCACAAACGGTTACAGGAGGCGTCGCACACGATAAACAAGCTCAAGCGCAGAAAACAAAGCATCGCCTTCACACAACAGAAAACGTCTCGGAACACGGCATAAAACTAGTTTTCTGTCGCTCATGGTGCATGCATCATCAGCAAAGAGGAGCGCCCGCACACGGTGGAAGAGAGAGAGGTCACGATACGTTTCAACACGACACAGCCGCCGTACAGCGAAGCCAATACACCTATTCTGTAACGCAACATGCCGCGATACACTAACACACGGGAGGGCCTAAGACAAACACCGCGGGCACGGGCACGCACAGCAGTGGCAGACACGGCAGACACAGCGCTCTTATCCTCCACGGACAACGGCAATGACGATGTTGTGATAAGTGCGACAATGGTAATGTCTAGCACAATGGTCGCGTCTCGCATTTCCACAAGCTAGAAATCAGTGAAGAATACGTCAGGCAGGAAGCCGCACGCTCAGTTGATATCATGGCGACCACCAAGCCGGACGAACGGATTTGGACGCGGTCAAAAGGCAAGCCGACCTGTAACCATCTGCATGCAGATGGTCGCCCTGATATATGCCATGCTGTGCTCGGTCGGAGACGGCACTTCACTCGACCACCAAGTTAAAACTTGCCGCCCGGTGGTTTAGTGGTTAGAAAGCCGGTGTTGTGGCACGATTGGCAAATACTTTGGGCTCGAGGTCCAGCAGCGAATGGGTCTGATGGGTACCTGAGGGTCGCATATCCTCAACAATGACGGGAAAACGTTACCACCGGGCGGTTTCATCGTGGCCTTGCATGGGACGCAACGAAATCCAACAGTACATGACAGACTGTAACAAAATATTCCACAGCTGGGACCACCTGCGAGGCGGGTCGGTGCCCACGCAATAGCATACACTTGGCGAGGACTGTTCCCAGTACCAATCGGGCGAACGATTCATGCAACAAAATGTCCCTTAAAACTCAACTTGGCACGGTCAGGATACTCCGGACAGTTTAAGAAGTGGAGTACAGTTATGCCATCGCATCGTAGAAACGTTTACGGACCAGTTACATCCTCCCGCTCTGGGACATAGTACTACACTGATCAGCCACTCTTCATCGCTTCACAACGTGTTCGCCGCACAACTTCGTGCCATCAGTAGTTTCTAGCACGTCCTAAACAGTAACGAACATCGACAGCCTGTTAAAATTCCTATCAACAGGCAAACACCTGAGTTTATGTCACGACACCCACTCACACCAGCCGGGCACCACCTAGCGGCCCCAGCTTCACCCGCCTCCTGAGCTCACACACCGGCTCCCGGACGCCAGCGGGGACTCGGTTCTCACCCGTCTGCGTGGGATCTAATACGGCGTCGCCGTCGCGCCCGGGGAACATTCTTCGCGCCGCTCCCGCGGAAATGACACCGAAGTTTGCCGGCTCCAGCACCGGGGGGCAGACGAGCGACATGGCGTCCCCCGCAGGAGCGCGTCACTGGCGCTTGACTAGCGGCTGGCTTTGGTGCGATGTTGAGTGCGTTGTCACCTCCCCCGTCCCGGACTTCGGACTAGAATTGTGTGAGATGTTCCAGACAGCTCAACGGTGTTGCCATGGCAACAGCTCGTAGTGCGGATGATCAAGCCAGAACCTGTGGCGTGCCTTTTTCGTGCACCTTGGGGACTCGTGTACGTAGTTCACGTAAGACGGCACGTTGAGGACAGACCCTGTGATGATGGATGTGTGTACTGAAGACTCTCAAGGTCTATGGGACTTCCCCAGAACGCAGGTACAGTGGTGACGCACACGGAGGATTCCCAGTGCTCGTATTCTCAACCCCCAGGGAAAATCCACGGAGCACAAACTCGGTGGTGGTGGTGCAGTTCGTATGCTGTGAAGACTGTGTACGTCGGGCCCACAGCGCGCACCCTGCGGAGTACATGTGCCGAAGCGTCATCAACGTCCGTGGGACAGTCCTCAGAGCACAGACTCGAGGATGGCGCAGGACGCACTTCGAAAAGACCCGGTGTCCGTGGGACGGTCCCTAGAGCACAGACTCAGTGGTGGTGCAGTATGTGTGCCGTGTGGACTCGGTGCCCGTGGGGCAGCTGCTGCGCAGGGGCTGCTCGTGGTCTCTCGTGGTGCGCGGCGGGCAGACCACACCCAGCCGGGCCAGCTGCCGACGCATCGAACGCTGGAAGTTTCTCGACATGAAGCAGTAGACGAATGGGTTGATACAGGCGTGGATGAACGGCATGAGGAAGAACGTGATGCGGACCGTGTAGATGACCGGCGAGAACACGGCTAGGCCCACCTGCCGACACATGCACGTTCTGTCACTGGCGCTGACAGGCGATGCTGTCATGGGCTGACAGCCGTCATTGTCAGAGGCTGGCAGCGCCTCTGTCGATGTGTGACAACAACCATTGTGACAGACGGCTGTCACAGTCGTGGGCTGACGGCCGTCACTGTCACGGGCTGACAGTCGACACTGTCACTGACAGACATTCGACACCGTCACAGGCTGACTACACAGACCGATAGACGTCACTGTCACAGGATGACGGTCGGCACTATCACCGGCTTAATGTCGCCACTATAAAGGACCAAACGTTTTCACCGCTGCGGTCTGACGGTTGTCACTGTCACTGACGGACGGCCGTCACTGCGACGGGCTGACAGCCGGCACTGTCACGGACTGGTAGATGTCATCAATTTCCTACCAGAAAGCGTGGCGTTCATAATCGCAGCGGAGGCGTTGTTTGGACGGCGGCAAAGTATGCAGATGACCATGGCAACCGACGTCAAGAGTTGCGGTTAGTTGCATGACGATAGTCGCCTCAGCTGCGGTGGCATGCCCGACCAGCGCCGCAAGGGCAGCGCCAGCACGCCCCGGGGAGGCCGATATCACGAATCATGAATCCATTCGCAGTAACTGTCGCGCGGCACCCAGGAATGGTTATCAGCCCAGTCAGCGGCCGTCAGCGGTAGCGGGACGGGACGGCGGCTGGCAGGAGAGCTCCGCGACTGCCCTTTTGAGGGCTCCGGGCGGCCGGGCCGGATACGTGGAAGACGAATCGTTCCCCTTGGCCTCGGTCCAAGGCCAAATAAAAGACATACTTTGGCTTGGAGAGAGATTGCGCAAAAATTGAAAAGGAGTAGATGACCAGCCTTTGTGATGTTATGAAGACCGGCATTTATTCAGGCCATTGGGACCGCAACCTCTCTCGCCGGTTTTCACGATAGGTGGCAGCACTCCAAACGGTGCGGGTGTTAACAGGTGACGACCTGTGATTTGATCAGAAACACCACACAAACCTTACGTAGCACTGCATGCAATTGCTTAGCTTGAGATGATTCTGAGATTTTTGGTTGCAATGCAACTGCCTGAGCTGGGATAACCCACCTTTCCAAACGCCTGTGCTTCCAACCCTTATAATCACACATCTTACTACGGATGCACTTGAAAACTTTTTAAAATAGTTCAGAATATCCTAAGAAAAATGTTCCGTGAAAATTTTCACTTTACGTACAGATCAGGCATGGATGAGTCAATTTCCAATCGGAACCTAATATCTGATTTCAGCAATGAGGTATCTGTGCATAACTTGAAAATTGCGTTACTATCGTCGTCAGTTTCAGTGATGAACGCCGTGTGCCTGTCAGAAGATAACAAACCGGCAGTCTGGCGCCCACCGGAACACAACGGACCGGCAGCCTGGTGCCCGACCAGAACACAACAAACCGGCAGCCTGGCGCCGCCAGAACACAACAGACCGGCAGCCTGGCGCCCGCCAGAACACAACAGACCGGCAGTCTGGCGCCCGCCAGAACACAACAGACCGGCAGCCTGGCGCCCGACCAGAACACAACGGACCGGCAGTCTGGCGTCCGCCAGAACACAACAGACCGGCAGCCTGGCGCCCGACCAGAACACAACAGACCGGCAGTCTGGCGCCCGACCAGAACACAACAGACCGGCAGCCTGGTGCCCGCCAGAACACAATAGACCGGCAGTCTGACGCCCGCCAGAACACAACAGACCGGCAGCCTGACGCCCACCAGGACACAACGGACCGGCGGCCTGGCGCCCGCCAGAACACATCAGACCGGTAGCCTGGCGCCCGCGAAACACAACAAACCGGCAGCGTGGCGCCCATCCCTGCAACGGCTCTGGCAGCTGTCTCGTCTAACGGTGAGCCACCATACAATAAGTCGTTTGGCCCACAAACTAGTTACGCAGACCAATTCGCCTGTGTGTAACTAGTTCGGCAGAACTGCTAGTCTACGTTAGCATGCTGTCATCACGCAAGCCGGATGCAATCTTCGAACCCGGTTTAGTTGCTGCTTTTTCACGGGTCATGACAATCTTTTGCAACTCACTGCAGGATTCCCATCGTTATAGAACACACACGGCTTTAAAACGCACGCAACAACGGCCAACACTGACACGCACGCATTTTGGACGATAATTAAACGAATGCACATCCCTGGCAGAAGTTATTCCTCGCTGTGACCTTGCATACATCAGGTTTAAAGCTCGGAAGCCACCGACCGCTTCCCAGAGCGTTTCAAGGCTGTCCAGGCTGGTCGACAAATGCTTACCTTGAGGACGATTTCCATGATGAGCCGCGGTCCCCAGCAGACGAGGAAGAGTGCTATAACCAGAATCAACATCTTGATCACCTGGAACAAGGCATGATTGTAATTCACTTCGAATGAGGTGTCCTGAGACTTCCAGACCATGCTGTTGGCAAGCCCTTTGTTGAGGATGATACCCGTATTCCTGTTGCTTATTTACAACTAGGGTACAATAAACCAGGCCAATGAATTCTCCTTCAACGCTGATAAATACTTACTCCCAATAGCTTCATTACGAGCACATTTTGGTCTAATAACACACGCTTCTTCAATAAAGCTGGGACTCCCACGTCATGTGGGTAAACAAATCGGAACACCCTCTGATTATATGCGCACTTCGATGCTTTCCGAAATCGTAGACGCTGGGGTGTAAAAAGCAGATAAGGCAACACTTTGGTTCACAAGAACAGGAAGTATTAAAATTGCTTTAATTGCTTTAGCCATTTCTAGCAAGGCCTAAGGCCAAACAAGGCCGAACGAACTGACCGGAAGTTGTAATGATTCAACGGACACACACACACACACACACACACAATATATATATATATATATATGTATGTATATATATATATATATGCATGTATATATATATATACATATATATATATATATATATATATATATATATATATATGTATGTATGTATGTATATATATATATATATATATATATATATATATATATATATATATATATATATATATATATATATATGTATATCCACTGATCGTACCGCCATGCCGCTGCCACGAACAAGCAGCACAACTCCTTAAAAGCTGTACTACAACATCTTAAAGACTACTAAATGCAGACTGACTGCAACGTTGCAATACGGCTATCATTTTACCTTCCTATCTGAGATGCATGCAATGCGTCAAATTTTTGAACCACAAAAATGTTTAAGAGTACAGGTCGGAAACACGTCCAGATGACGGACAAGAAACGTTGCACTTGCATGATACTAACTAATACTGACGGAAAAGAAGCAGACAAACGTGTTAGCAAAAGTAAGGGCTGATGTGTTAAGATTCTCACGCATAATCGTACACGCAAATTTGCGTTGAGTTGAGATGGGAAAACGGTAAAGGCAAACTTACTGACGAAACTTTAATAGTAAATAAGTACCTAAACAGTTCGCCGAAAACCATGTCATCATAGAACACGAAGAGCATTAGAGGACAATCAGCCCTTCGATATCACACAAAGTGATAACAACATCATCGGAGCAGACTTGTATTCGACTCGAGCTGAATCATGAGTGGACCCTTGAGTCAATTGCTTTGGGGTAGGTCATGAGCTGAGTGGACTCACTAGGAAAATACCCACTAGAATCATGAGTCAGATCACATTTTTCTTAAATTTCATGTCCTGAATCGTGGGCCAGTCATTTCTAACAATGTCTTGTCAGTGAGTCATATGGCTCAAATGAAAGTGATAACATTAGCAAGCACAGCACACCCAAGACAAGTTAGCACACCATTTCAAAGTGCCATAATAAATAGCATGCAACATTAGTTGAACAGATTTTCCAAAATTGCTTTAAGTTTGCTATCGTAATTTTTCAACAGAAAATATAAATGTTGTTCATCCTGAACTATAGTTGCCAATCTGAGACAACAACCGAATGATATTACATGGCATAGGATAAAGACAACACTCCATGATATATAACTCATGGGTATGGGTGGTAGGCGGCAGGTGGTATGTGCTAACCTAGAGCTGGGATCTGAGAGAGCTGGATGGTAATAGGTTACAAAAAGGGTATTGTTTGCCGCACTGCATTTGCTAGGTGCAGACTGCAAACTTCCTAGTAAGTTATATGTACCTATTTTCCATACAATCATTATGTATATGAATATATATCGCAAGCTGATTCTCTCTGTCTCTCTCTGTCTCTGTCTCTGTCTCTGTCTCTGTCTCTGTCTCTGTCTCTGTCTCTGTCTCTGTCTCTGTCTCTGTCTCTGTCTCTGTCTCTCTCTGTCTCTCTCTGTCTCTCTCTCTCTCTCTCTCTCTCTCTCTCTCTCTCTCTCTCTCTCTCTCTCTCTCTCTCTCTCTCTCTCTCTCGTCTCTCTCTCTCTCTCTCTCTCACTCTCTCCTTCTTTCTCTCTACCACTCTCTTTCTCTCTCTCCATCGCTCTCCCCCTCTCTCTCTCTCTTTCCCTCACTCTCTCTATCACTCCCTCTCCTTCTCTCTATCACTCTCTCTCTCCTCTCTTCCCCTCTCTCTTTCCCAATCACTCTCTCTCCCTCTCTCTTTCTCTCTCTCGCTATCACTCTCTCTCCGCCACTCTCTCTCTCTCTTTCTCTTTCCCTCTCTCTCTTTCCCTCTCCCTCTCTCTCTCTGAATGGGGCATATGGCTCACAAGTGATAAGGCAACGAGAGAAAATTCAATCGGATCTTTGATTTTACAAGCCGCATGCATTATACGTCAAATGATTCAATGCAAGCAATGAGTCTGAACTAGGCCAAATCACAAAATCTGGCTGGCTATGGCTGGCTGGCTGGCTGGCTGGCTGGCTGGCTGGCTATGGCTGGCTGGCTGGCTGGCTGGAACGGCTAAGATTGATCATGATCATGATGATGAGTCATGAGATTGATCGGTTCCCGCAATCTATGGGCCAGTCATGAGCCGGCTCAAATATGAGTCAAACACAAGCCTGTATCGGAGAGGATAATGTAGCTTTTAAAACCAAACGCTCCCATAGCCAACAGACCGTGGGCGAGCCATCGGAGGCACCCAGCCCGGTCCAAAGACGAGCTAAAAACGGACCAAAAGGCTGGAACAGATAAGCAATGAACATGACAAAGACAAACGGTTTTTGAGGAGGAAACATGAGATAACTTGAAGACTGGAGGAGGTGAGCACCACACAGCGGTAACAAACGAGAGAGTAAACCGTTTTGTCTATCGAAACGCCTTTTTTAAGCACAGGTCACTGTATCGCACGGGAGAAGGGGTAAATCTTAGATTACCAGGTAAACTGAAGAGAAGGTAACTGAGGGAAGCATCATTACTAGGACCGCCACTGACGGTACCAAGGGTGCCGACAGTAAGCGTACATAACATTTGAACCCTCGTACATAATATTTTAACCCTTGGAGGCGAAGTGCCGCACCCATCCCTTGAGGTTTTTCTAAATAACGCCTGTGAGCGGTTGGCAGCGTTTTTAAACATGTGAAAATCCGTAGTTTCTGACCCTGACGGTTTATGACCATGACCTCTCTCTCGGGCTCATATCTGTAGCATCATCATTAAAAGTGACAAACAACAGTTTTGCGGACATGTGTTATGAAGTGTGTTGTAGGCATATTTTCTAATCTATGTCATCTAAAATGCAACATTACTGTACTGGTCGCTTTTGCTAGATCATGCCACCAACGATCAAACAACGGCAAACTTTGACCTGCATGACCACATTTGATCCTTTGAAGTTCATGCAATGTAGACCCTAATGGTACATCTATTACAATTTTGGAATTCCTTTCCACCGCTGTATTATGTATTTGTATTCCCTTTCATTAATTATCTAGTTCTTGATTTAGACAGACTGGCCAGTGCCGACAATCGCCTCCACACTTTTGTATTGACGTGATATCATAGGTCGCATGCATGGATGTCCACTAGCGTCTATCTCATAGAGCTTTCCTAAAGCTATTCAACGTCGTGAAAGGAAGTATCGCATCGTGGGCTAACGGTATCTTTGGTTAAGCAATACGCTAACTGTCTGCTTGAATTGTAAATGGATCGTTTCCTACTTTCGTTGTCGCAGAGGAATGCGTCTGTTGAAGTGCGTGCAAATTGTTAATGCTTGTTTTGTTAACACGTCTTGACGTTTATGTTCACAATATTAGCTGACCAAGGCTGGGGATGAGGAAAATATAGAGATGTTTGGCCGGTTCACACATGGCTAGCCATCCGGCTTCCGGGCTCGGATGTAGGACGACCCTCCGGCGCTGTTAAGGTTGGCTTTCATAGCCAGGACGCCCGGAAGCCCGTCCGAGCGTCCGTCTGGACGTCCGTCGTCCGGTCGTCCAATCATCCGGTCGTCCGGTCGTCCGGTCGTCCGGTCGTACGGGTCGTCTGGTCGTTTGGTCGTCCGGTCGTCCGGCCGTTCGGTCGTCCGGCCGCCAACTGTCCGGTCGTCCGGTCGTCCGGTCGTCAGGGCGTCCGGTCATCCTGTCGTTCGGTCGTCCGGTCGTCCGGTCGTCAGGGCGTCCGGTCATCCGGTCGTACAGTCGTCCGGTCATCCGGTCGTTCAGTCGTCCGGTCGCCCGGTCGTTCGGTCGTTCGGTCGTTCGGTCATCCGGGCCAGTTCCTTACACGTTGACGACGCTTTTGCGATTTTGTTTGCCACTGAAGAGTGGTCTTTGTCTTGCTCGTTTTCTTTTATGTGCTGCATCAGTTTTGCAACGCACTTAGCTCTAAAAATTGACCATGGTATGTAGTGTGAAGTACGAGTAGTCACTACTAAATGTCAAACATGCGTTCCTGTCAGTGTTCTGCCTCTCCCCACTGACGGGCTTTTGCTCTCTCACGACTGCTGCCAAATTGCAGATCGTGTCTTGATCAATTGTCGGATGTCTATGGCGGTTAGACTTGCTAAGCAAGCAGAAGTTCACTAACGTCCTCGATATTTGCCCTCTGCACATAGCCTCAGCAAACGAAGAGCCAAAGACTGCGTCAGCAACTCCCTGGTAACGATATAAAGACACCAAACACAGCACAGGACACCACATATAACTACGATAGCACTACGAGGCGTCATTTATTCCTCACTCGCCCCAAGAACAACTACCAAAAGCGAGCATATGTCTACCGGGCTGAGCATATCTTGAACGAGTGTGTCACCAGCTGCGACATTACGGACGTGCTATTTCCTCGTTCATAACTCGTGCCCATTATTCAAAGAACCTGACATTTTCAACTGTCGTATATATCTCTTCGTGTTGTGCTTGTGATAACTGCTTTGTTACTGTCGGTACGTTTGTTGACAACGGTCTAAGAATTCTCATAATCATGTGAAATGACCTGGTGAAGTGTGAAA